CTGCCAGAGCAAAGTCTCTATTTTAGTAAACATTGAAAGAATGATATGAGAAAGCTTTTGTTTTTGTATATTACGAGTAGGTAATTATAGGGCATTAATTTGTGTCTCCAGCCTCGATGCTGTGAGAAACTTCATTATAGATGAGAAGGGGAAAGGGGAAACATAGCACTGTTAAAATCCATTGGCTTCATCAGCCTAGGAGCAGGAGGAGCAGAGGCAGTACAGCACAGCATTGCTGGAAGGCTATAGGGCTGCAGCTTATACCGGCTCATTCACTGCTGATTATCATGCCAAAGAAATTGTATTTAGACCTAAAACTTGCTGCAGGAGCTTAATCAGTAAAGCAGTGATAGGTCAGGAGCAAAGAGCAGCACCCTGTCCTCTGCCCACGAGGTTCAAGGACTGGCTGAGCTGGCTCCCAGCACAGGGCAGCACATGCAGGAGGCAGGGTGGAAGCTCAGGGGCTCCCTCGGCACTGAATCAAACACCAGGAAATATCGGCCTCCTTCCTGACCACAAGTTGTTAATGCTGCCCCTTGGGTAACACATTCTGGAGGGGAAAGAAGAGGAACAACAAAAATCAAAATGCTGCAGACTTTGGACAGTTATGGGTATCATAAAAAAGGGGAGAACTGAGGAAGGAGGAAGATAAAAGAGGAAGAAAGGAAAGAAGATGAAAAGTTAAGTAGACAAGCAGATTTACAGTCTTATCAGTCCCACTCGATAACAAAGAGGAGCACGGCATCCAGTCAATAGTGCTTGTTTGACCATCAGTGGGAAACAGATGATTAATTGAGGCCTGTAAGGAGATTATGGCCAGAAACAGCCTCCTGCTCCAAGGAGCAGCTGCTGGGAGCTGTGGGTTCCCCAGTCCAGCCTGACTTGGGGCCGTGCACAGGAGGCACCACTCAATGCCCAGCACAGCTGATGAGCAGGGTGTTTGGGCATCCTTCTCCCCAGGCCACAGAAAAAGCAACTTCATTTGCCATTTAACACAAGGCAGAGAGATGGATAGTTTTGGGAGGGGCCTGAACTGTCCCAAAATGCCACCTTTTCCCATTGAAGTTCACTGGTGCTTGTTCTTCAGGGCAGGCTGTAAGAGCCTGAGCGATTCAGTTCTTTCCTGGGCAGCAGAGCCACCCTCCCAGCACTGAGGCCAGCACTCACCCTCCTGTCCCAGTGCCCCACATACCTTTCTCACACAGGCTTTATGGCACTCAGCACGTGCCTCTCAAAGCGGTTTCCCAGCGTTCAGCAGTTCCAGATCAACAGATCCAAGGTTCACTGCAACAACATCAGCAGGTTTCCCCCTGCGCACGGCAGAGAATTTATTAATGTTTGTTCAGGAAATATATTTGTTTAGGAAAGCCCCCCCAGCCCTCAAAAGCACGTGTTTTACAGCTGCAACCCGGCCCTCAGATGGAGCAATTTCCCCCGGGCCCAATTGCAAAACAAGTTGCTCTGGCCCTTGGCAGCCCCGCTCCCTGTCACAAGATCCCAGAGTTCGAGCGAGCTTTTAAAGAAAGTTTTGGAAAAACCTTTGTTTGCACAGGCAATGGCACCAAGCTCCTGCAGTTGGGGTTTGTTGTTTTTTTTTTCCTTTTAGTGTTGCACCTCTGTGAGCATGGTTTTGTATGATTCAGTACTAAAACATTTTGAACAATCTTTTCTGCAAAATAAAGCTTATTAAATTTCACTTTTAAATGGACAAACAGCTTGACTCACAATTCAAACGTAGCTGATTAATGCCATTCAACCAACAGCTAAAAAGCCCTCCAAACTTTTACCACAATCAGGCTCTTCACTCCACAGGAGCTTTAACTCTACAACAATAAAGCAGATGATTATTGCTAATCATTAGCTCGGCCCCAGTTAGATGTTCCATTATTGGAAACGGGCAAAACCTCTAAACAGACAGAACCTCTAAAAGTAGCAACACAGGTTTCTATATTTTACACAGATCTGTGAAAGGAAAAAACCCAGAATGTTTCATGGCAGTCTTAAAACCACACAAAACCCAGATTCAAGCAATTTAGAAACTCCTAAAAGCAGCTAAGAGCTTTTCTCTCCGGCCTTATCAGAGGATGAAGCACAAGAACCTGATGAGGAAGAAAAGACAACACAAAACCAAGAGGTAACCCAACAAAACAATTGAAAGCTTTTATTGTGATACCTCAAGTAGATACAATAGTGAAACAACAAATGATGTACAGTATTGGTAGGACAAAACAGCAACACAGCCATGTCACCTGTAAAAGAAAGCATTTTCAAGAGTTTAAGAAACAATGAGGCACAACTTAACTGCCATTTACGACTCATGCTTTAGACCTTAAGCCACTTGTAACAATCCTTTTAAAAGAAACCTCTGAAACATCTGTTCCTTTTCCAGTAAATGTTTGTACTGCTGGTTGGCTTAACACGAGTCCCAATGAAGCCCAACAAAGTGTCCAGTGATAGTTTGAAGCTTCTTCCGCTCACGGACAAAGACTGGAGATGGTTGAGATTTGGTCTGGGAGACTGTAGGCCACTGCTCTTGCAATCTGACTGCAGGAGCACGCTCCAGCATTACTTGGAGGGAAGCAGAAATCCACCAAAAACGGTGCCCAGCCTTCCAGAACTCTTGCACTGATACCCCAGGAATAAGTACAGATACCACTTGGTTATGGGGAGCGAGGACTCTGTCAGAGCCTCTGAGGCCAGTTTGGAATTCAAAGAAACGTCATAACCTGCATTTTCTCCCTCCTCTCCCCTGGCCTGCAAGCACACAGGCACATCACCAGACTGGTCACTGCACTGGGCCTTGCAGTGGGAAATGAAGATGGAGCTCTAACAAACTCTCCTCACACAGTTTGCCACTGCACAGTTTACAATGTGCACACTAAACGAGGGAAATTCATCTTCTGGCCCTTTTAACTGGCAGATGAAACTAAGATTACCACACTGCTAAAAGCATATGGCAAGAGTGGTTAGGTTGATGCCTCAGCAATCCCTCACCAAATTCTGCAGTTTATTTCACAGCAAGTTTGCAATGGAACAGAATTTTTTGAGATGGCAGGGTTGCCTTTTATTAATAAAAAAGTGATCAGCCAAAGAAGAACTCCAGGGTTTGGAGGCAGACTCAGCCCTGGAACACCACTGTTAAAGCCATTACTTTGGACCTAGACAGAGAATGTGTGGTCAGGTTACTAAAGTCACACCAAATTACGATTAATTACTTTAGGACAGGTGTGGCTTTAGAGGTTCAGTGGAAAAAAACTTTCAGTACATGTACATTTTTGCTAGCAAATTCCTATGCATCCCAATGAACGTTTCTTCTAAGCCAGCTCATAGTCAGTTCATTTGGTCCAAGAAAGAGCCAGCAAGAAACAAAGGTTCACAAAAGCTTTTTGTTACAGTTTATAAAAACAAAATACAAAATAAATGTTAAGACCAACAATAAAAATAACCAGTACAAGTAACAAAAGTGCTCAAGTTGGAGGGGAGGTAAACTTGCCCAGAGCAAACACATACAAACTTTAAATATAATCTTTAATATATTACAAAAATTGGTTAGAGGGAAAATGCTTTAGTAAAATTTTTTTTTCAAGTAAGTTTATTTTTCTTTCAAATGACTGCTGGATGGTTCAGTGACCAGACTGACCTTTTCACATCAGCCAGCAGCCATTGCTATCTAGATTCAACTTTCACCAAAACCAATAACAAGAACTCTCTACATCCTTATGTGGGGAGAAAATAATTATCGACGCTGCCAAACAACACAGGAAGAAAATTCACATATTCCCTCAATAGAATGAGCCTCAAGAATCGTTACATGGCAGCAAAAAATAGCAATTCTGCATTAGTTCTGCTCTTTATTCCTTCTAAGCATCCACTCTTAATAACAGACCAAAAAGTATATTGCTTTGTTTGGTTCTCTTAAAAGCCATAAGCATCACATACAGATCATTAACTCCATGCCAGCAGTCTGAAGCTCTGCGTGCTAAACACTTCAAGTCCCAACCTTTGGCATCAAAGTTAATTAAGGTTTTGGTGAAAATGTCCAGTTTGAAATATAAATAATGCACTGAAGAAAGAGGTTGAATTTCTAAGAATCAGAACTGTTTGTTACAGACAGCGTTAGCTTACGAACAAGAGAGCCAAACCCCCAGTTTTGGAGAGAAAAATCTGTAATACTTTACATATTCTCTTTAATTTCAACTCTCAATGGAAAAGCAGCCATTGCTTTTGTATCCAGTCCAGTGTACTGCCTCAACACTCTGTAGCCAGGCAGTAAGAAAAGCCCAAAGATACACAAACGTCACACAAACGTGGTCACAAGCATCAACACTGCAACAGGACTTTGAAGCCAACACAAGCTTTTTGCTGATAGAAGTTTTAGTGCCTTCTTTGTTGGCAACATAGATTACAATGGTGGAAAGCAAAATCCCAATAATTCCAGGTCAAGAAGATCACAAGACAGGCAACACTAAAGCCCATCTTGCATCAATGACATTGTTAAAAATGAGACCTCAAAGCCTGATGTGAACATGAAGTAGTAATGTGTGAGCCACAAAATCCAGGTTGAACACAACTCTATCACCTCAGGTCTCTGGACTGAAACCCAACAGCTTCAACTACTTCTCTAATTCTTACAGTTTTAATTGCCAGGTATAGATCATTACAGCATCGGGAATGCACTTTACCAGCCTGTATCCCAGAGAAGGTGTGCAGTGGATGAACGCTCCTCCCACTCCTCCTCTCCCCAAAAACACTGCACAGCTGCTTTGGAAGGTCTGTATTGCCTCTACCCACTGGCGTCATTTTTCCTGTATGACAATTTCTAAAGTGCACCAGAGTTCAGAAAGCCTATCAGAGATTCCCAAACACGAAACAGCAGCAGCAGCCCCTGGGAGCAGCTTCACAGGTGCCATGTTAGAACTGTTATCGAGAGAAAAGGACGTCGTACTGCAAGGCTTCCGTACTGTTCAGTGATAGGACTCACAGAGTGTTCAAGGGGTTTGTTTCCAAACAGCCTCAAGCATTAAAAGGATTCAAATACAAAAAGTCCTCAGAGTCTGTTTAATTTGAAAATGAAGTTAGCAAATTTATGCAGAGCGCTTCTTTCACAGTTGCTCAGTTTGCATTACAGAGATACCAACAGCTCATATCGTGCATACACTTTCCAGAAGCTTCTCTCATTAACTGATTCCATGAAAGAAACAGCATGAGAACAAAAGAGAAGGTGACTTTCATATAAATTTTTATTATAAAAAGGTACTTGGGGATGATTTAGCCAGCAAACCAGGAAACCCTTTCCCCACCCCCAAATTTTAAAAACTATCCTGCTATTTTATGAAAAAACAAGTCAAACCTCCCTTCCCTCTTATTCCTTCTCCTTTTCCTACAGGTACTATATTAATTTTCATGTCATAGGCTCTGGCCATTTCTCACAAAAATAAATATTTTTGTTCAAATGTAGCAGAAGCAGAATACTTCAACAAGTTTCACTGACATCAACCTCTTTGTCCAGTGCATTAGGACTACACAGTTACATGGAACCAGCCATAAAACTTTACTGATGCACAAGTCCCTGTTACTGGCAAAGGTACAGTACCAAAACTTTGTTTTTTCCTAATATACCAACTAATGGTTTTTTTCCAAAATAGAAGATGCATATATATTTCTTTTTAATCTTGCAAGTTATAGTTTTATAAATTTCTTATCCAGCAAACTCCTTAGGGAATATGTTGGTCTTAAATGAACATATTCTATAGCATTATTGATTTAAAATCTATGTTATTTTGTTAAGATAACAAACCTCTGGCATAACCTTTCCTAACAACTTGAGACCTGCTAATTTCAGTCAGTGCAATTGAAATATTTTCTTTTGAAGTGAGCACTGTACCTTTAACCAATTCACCTACAAGATGTACATAGGTCGTGGTACACTCAAATTTAAAAAAGAAATTAATAACTACAATACTGCATCCTCTTCACTGCCAAACACATCAGAAATTGCTACATATAATAAAAAAGCACCCCATCCCATACATTCTTTCAGACTGCTCAGATACAGAACTTCTACAGGACTGGAGTGTAGGTGTTTAGGCAAGAAGCATGCACAGCAGAAGGTAGCATTAAAGGCATAGGTCAGAGAGAGATGCTAACCAGTAAAATCCGTTTTCAATTAGTGAACTGTTTCTCTAGTCAAGAGAGAGTTTAGAAAAAGGTCATCCAAAATGTTCCAAAACAACTGTTCACACAATAATACACGTACAAAAAGAGGGAACTTACACAAGGAGAAAAGGCAAACATGGCCTGAAAGAGCCAGTTACACTACACTACTCATTTGTGAGGTTTCAGAGTTCAGTGATATTCTCAGGGCCACTCTAGCCAAGCTCTTCCTTTACTTCGTGTTAGTCTTTGTAAAGCCTGTTCCACAGAATAGTGTCCAAACAGAAGGAAAAAGGGTATGGTTCACTCCCAGCCATTGTCTTTTATCATGTGGGCAAGTTCAATGATAAATTTTCCTTCTTTGTATTTCTGACTGCTCTCAAAAGCATGTTCCTGGAAAGAAAGGAAAAAATAATCAAGACAACAACGAATTAAGCTGGGAAAATTAAGCCTTTTAAACATCAAACTTGCATTAAAATTACAAGCACTACAGGAGACATTACAGTTAACAACCCATGTTGGTTACACCGAGTAGGGAGGGAGGAAGGAGAGGCTGAAAAGCATTGAGGAGGAAATAGAAGTAAACTTCTAAGTGGAATCAGCAGATTTACTGCACAGCAGATCTTGCTTTAGAACTTTCCATGTCCTCTCACTGATTAGGGAATTTTAATGCTTTTTTTAAAGTGAAGATTAGGAAATGGCATGTTATGTCTATTGTTTCCTTATTCCCAGAAGTAATGAAAAGAGGAAATGGGAACCTCTTCAAAAGAACTCCTCTATATTCATCATCACAGGGAATGCATCTGGAAAAGCTGTAAGATCTGAAGCTGTGCTGAATCAATGAAAATCCTACATGCAACATTCAGAATCTAACATTTGCAAAACATCAAACTTCCAACACAGCTGTGTTACAGGTAACTATGCAAGTGCACAGGTAACTTTTCAAACTACAGAATCAAGTCCACATTAGTTATAAGCAGTATAAACATGCTCATTACTATTTACTGCAATTCATATTTTTCCTATATGAACCAACTTTTGCAATCCAAGAAATGAAAGACCCACTTTGACAATTTCTTTCATCTGGTTTAGTGCATGTGTGCTTGGTAATCTTGCAAAAAGGTATTACAGAAATGTTAGACAGATGTAACAGCACCTATAGCTCATGCTTGATTTCCAGTCCAGAATAAAGGTATTAGCTACTACAGGATTTCTACAGATGGAAGGAAGTAAAACTATATTACACCCTGATACAAACAAAAGCACTGGAGCTAACTCACCTAAACTATTAGTATAGGAGCTACTCAATGGCCTACTCAAATATCTGTGCTTCAACATATAAACATTTACTGAAGATGTAAGTATATTACTTACATATTTCCATCCAAGAGTGGTTTTACAGTTTTCACAATAGATATCTGCTACAGCATGTAAACCTGTCAGAAGAACTCTCTCCTCTGCTGGACCACAGCCCACATTTACCCTGAAAAAAAAAAGGAGAAATTACATTAACTACATGACTGCGTGTCTTTTTTTCTGTTTCCCACCTTTTCTCCAGTGGACAAAAAACAGTTGTGGTGTTTTTTTTTTTTTTAAAGTGCCTGACTTATTCGATGCTGTAAAAGTAACTTCCTCAGTTACACTGAGCACAAGGACAGGAAGAAAATAAGGGTTTGGGTTTTGTTTTTTTCAAGTGTCTGCTGCTGTCACTGTGGGTGATACCCATTCACTGCCAGCAATGAAGACAAGCTACACAGTTAAACTTTCAGAGGACAGAACACTAAGCAGTATCTGGATACTTCTCCAATTTCAGGCTTTTCTTCAAAACAATTTGAGACCCCTGTAATGCAAGTCTGTACCAGTAAATCAGCACCAGCAGCTGAATTTAGAGCCAACTCCAAAATAGCAGCAGGGAAAAAGCCTCATAAATATTTCTTTGCTGCGTATCAGCAGACTAAGCCATGACGAACAAACAGCAATATCAAAACAAAACATGCCATGATCTACTGCACCAAGCTAGGTTTTTCATCAGTAAGAATCTATGCAGAAAACATGAGGCAAGACTAAATCAAGTTTTTAGGCTGTTTTAAACAAGAGCAAAATTTTGCTGGTTGTGCCATTGCATTACCAGCTTCTTACTATTACAATTATAATTCAAGTCCCACGTCACCACTGAAGGACTACACATAAAAAGAATTTCAAGGATCTACATTCAAATCCTTTGCAGTTAATAGTTTCATTATCCTGCTCAAAAATAGACCAGGACATGTAACTGCATTACTTTTTCAAAATGTTGCAACATAAAAAACTGCTGAAAAATAAAGACAAAAATGCAATCCTGCATAGTAAAAACTTATAAAACAAATGCAAAGAGCCTTCTATGAAGGGAAGGACATGTCTAAGATTGCAAATATTGGGTTTGATAAGATCACAGAGACCTTTTGCCTCTAGCACATTTGCAATATTCAAGGTCATTGAAGATGTACCAAGTTTACTGAAACATTAACCTGTAAATGTATCCAACTATCACACTGGGAAATTCTTCTTTAGATTACAGTTGAGTTGTCTAAAGCAAATTTAGAGTCACACAGTATAACTGGCTGCTGGAGTATCTCAGAACAGCAACTTCTACTCAAGACAGTTACCACTACATACACAAAAGGAATTCTTCATTAACACCTTTCCCTAATCTTTCAGCTCTAAGTAAAATTACTTAAAATACAAGATAAACTCATGTATGTGCAAAGGGATGCCTCAGAATCAGCTCAGTAGCTCTTACAGCCAGCATTAAAAGTACAGCTACGTTAATTCCCGCTGTTCTCCACTTGGGAAGCACCAAGTTACACTCTACAGGTAACGTGCAGAACATAACAACATACTCACACAGAATTGAAGAGGTAGGCTCGTCCCTGGCTTCCCTGGAAGGACTGCATTAAAAAAAAAAATTGCACTTGTTAAAAAAAAGGAAAGAAGTCCCACCACACGAAAAAATAATTTCCAGAAGGGTGTATTAGTAAACATACTAAGGTAATACAGATACAAACTACTGCAGATCAATCACTTCATACCAGTTATTTATAGGACAGCCTCGTCAGCCAAGTCTTCACCCACATTAGATTTTTAGCAGTGACTTTACAGTGTTAAGTGCTATTGTTTGAAATTAGATGTCCGTAATGCAAACCAAGCATACTTTTTTCCTACCCCTCTGCAAGATATCAGTCTCATCTTCCCAGACATCCTTCATGCTAATTAAAATAATCTGCTTTTAACTCAAAGGAAATTATTCCCACCTTCTCTGTCTTCTCCTGCTGCACCCAAAAGATGATTTATTTCAATTTCATTACATCATTTGATGTAAAAGCAGTGAAATTATGAACAAAGCATAAATCCAGGTTTTTAGAAGAAAAATCTCCCCTTCAGTGTTTTTGAATGGTTTTAGTAACGTCAGGCATGGAACCGTAGGCAGAAGGACCTTTTTACAATGGATTCTATTTCTGACTTATTTAGTTATGCCATTAGAAATCATTATGTATTTTGCCAGTCTAACAGCTAACAACACAGCAGCAGAACTGTTGTCTCTTATCTACTTACTCAGAAGAGATTGAAAAAAACCCACAAAACCAAACTAAACACATGAAAGGAAAATATGTATAAATCAACACTTTTTGATCAACATTAACCAGATTCCATACTGCAGTAAAGAGTGGTGAAATAAATCCGTGACCGGACTGCTCTGAGTAGCAGTGGTGGCACTGCAGTTACATACAGGCCTTAGCTACTTGTAAAATCTTACATTAGGATGAGAAATTCTACTTTACAGTGCTAATATTTTATTATTTTAGCAATCATTTAAAACAATTATTGACAGAACATATTACTGTCCTCTATTAACTACTTGAAAGGAGGTTGCAGCAAGGTGGGCTCAGTCTCCTCTCCCAACTAACAAGTGACAGGACAAGAGGAAATGGCCTCAAGTTGCACCTGAGGAGGTTTAGATTGAGTAAGGAAACATTTCTTCACCAAAAGAGTTTCAAGCACTGAAACAGGCTGCCCAGGGCAGCGGTGGAGTCACCATCCCTGTAAGTACTTAAAAGACATGTACATCTGGCACCTGGGGACGTGATGTGGTGGACCTGGCACTGCTGGGTTTATGGTTGGACTCAATGACCTCACAGGTCTTCTCTAACCTAATGACTCTAAGGAGGTTCTATCTATAGCAGAGACAAAAGAAAAGGTACTGTCTCCACTTGCCAGAACTGCAACTCTTATTTTTCACAAGGCAATGAAAACCAGGCTGTGCAGTACAGTGAAAGCTGAAACTTCAGGTGCTACTGACCCTGAAAGGGGAGACTTGGTTGAGGAGAGTCTGAACAACTCTGCCAGAAAGTAATGAATGCCTCTAATTTATGCCTTTAAAACAAACAAATAAAACCCCACCACTAGTTCAGTTCTCCTGAGATACTTAAACACTCACCACAAAGCTGGCAGTCTGCAGTTTCTACAGAATAACCAGGATTAGAGCCAGTAACTAAGCAGAGAATTCTTACTGCAGATGAAACCAAAAACTGTTCACACACATACTCTCAAAAACTGCTCATTAACAAATGAGTAACTAGCCTGAGTAAACTACACATTAATCTAGAGAAACCTACAGTTGTGCAAAACCAAAACTTTTGAAAAAGCAAAGGGCACACTTTAAAAATCCTCTTGTTCATTAAGAAGCAAACTTAAAGCTAGAACTTCCCTGTTTCATGTACCTGAAATTAAGAAAATGAACTTTCAAAGCCATGATGACCATGACACTTCGGTAAACTACTGTAAAAATTCTTAAAATCTTTTAAAAAGCTGCAGCCATTTCCACTTGCTTTAAAAACTCCATGTTGTGAATTAAAATTCACAAATCCTCTTTCAAACTACACCAAGAAATCTTCTCTCCTATTAATCATGTGCTAGTTTCTCTATTTAAATGTAATTAATTGCAACATGCCAAATGCATACAAATGAATGTGGTGGCTTGTTGAGTTTTTTTTGTTTGGTCCTACACAATCGCTTTTTAAACTACTTACATGCCATACCTGAAGTTCCTCAGCAGGCTGGGAAAGAAAAAACTCCAGAACAAACCAACAGTGGGGAGACTTTCCAAACTATCTTATGCAATTATTTCTGCCAAGTTTATGTTTAGTCTTGACTTAGTATCACCTCATAAAAGCTCTCCTTTGACCCTGCTTTTCTCAAAATTAGGCAGAGGGCAGTAAAAGGATGCCAGGAATAGCACAAAAAGCAGCTCTTCCCCTCTCGTTTCACAAGCTGAAACACATATCTAGCCAAATGTAATAAGAACAGCAGGTTGGAAAGCACTGCTAGAGTTGTTCTTTTCTCCTAATATATTTTTAAAGATGACTTGGCTTTTCTTGCACGCTTTGCTTTGTTGCCCTAAATACGTTGTACTGGCCCAGGCTCATTTCCCCTCAGAAACGGCCATCCTAGCTCAACCTTCTATTTTCGGGATTATCAGGGTAGAGTAGAGGGAGAAGCAACACAGAACCTTTTCCTGTGACAGTGATTTTAGAAAGAAAATCTGTTCACAAACACAACCTCTTATTTCCTGTTCCCAGAGACCGACTGATTATTTGGATATCATCTTTCCTTACCTACACACATGGTTAGAGACCATATATTGTATTTACATGCCACAGAACCCTCGTTTCTTTGCCCAGCTGCAAAGAGCAAGTTCCTCCACGTTTGACAGAATAAACATCACCTATGCAAACACAAACTTCTACTTTGTAAGGTGTGTTCAGCACTTCCAAGATCACTGGCACTGCACATAAATCATCACTAAACCAGAACATTCTATTCAAACTGAGTCTTAAATACATGTCTTATCCAGTAGAGAGGAATCAGAAGATGTGGCAAGTGTGATCAACTGTCATCAATAATCACTCACAGCAACCAGGATTTTTACTCAGAAGCTGGACAATTTATCAGTTCAACTAATACTTGCAGTTAAAATTTAAACTTGCTTTAAGGCTGCTTTTTCATGGTCTCCAATTAATAATATTGGATTGATTTATGAGTTAATTTATTCCTTAGAAAATCCGCATCTTTGACTAGCTCTTCCATTTATACAGAAAGATCTACAAGATCCATCATGTTTTCTTGTTTCAGCACAGCTGAAAGTACCTAGAATGTCTCACTGAGTCAGCAAAGATGTTCAACTGTGTTTAAGAATCACAGCAGGGTTGACTGCAAGAAGAGTTTGGAACTATGATCTTTCCTGAGAGACCTCTATCAATGTATTTTGTAGCAGAGAAGCTTTATATGTGTTTCACTTACAACTACATACCTGCAGATTTAGATTTGATCTGTGCTTCTCAGTTTAACCCACCCTTACCTCCAATACAAGGATCAGCTGTTTTACCCACAAGAAAAGGAAGTCTCAGTCAAGCAGAACATGTATTTACTGCCCTAAGGCATAACTCAAGGCATGGGTGGGGAAGGGGTGCTACTGAAAGCGATGTCATTCATTGTTCCCCACAGATGGGACTAGATTACACAGCTAGAGACCATGCCCCACATCCAGAGAAACTGCCAGCCTAGCATGTGTTATGGGTAGGACAGGCATTATTCTAAGCAAGTCACAATGTCATCAACAGCATCTTCCTTACACACAGCTTGCAAGTTACTCTCAACACAGAACAGCAATTTTAAAGAATGAAAAAGAAGAAACTCCACAGGTTTTTGTTCAGTTTTATTTTCCCGAGTCTCATTTCATTAGCTGAAATTCCCTCTAGAAGCTAAGATGGAGCAATCTGAATTATTATTCTGAACCAATAAGCACACTGGAGAAGTACAAAACCCAGTGCTTGTAGGGGCAGTATTATTAAGGTAAACCAGGAACACACACGAGTGCTCTGATGTCTGAAATTACCTTCTCAGCAAGATGAATCAGAGGCTCTAAGGACATCCTCTCACTTCAAGATTTGCAAAGTAAATTCAGAAAACTGAACTCAAGCTACAGAAAAAAAATAAGCAGGAGGAAAAAAATGTGTTCCATTTGGTACTTCTCTCAGACCCAACTCCTTAATAATGCAGACAGAAATAATGCTGCTCAGCCACTTCCTAGGCAAGTTCTAGAAGACTCCATGATAAGTGTTAAAAAATAAATTTAAAGTGTATTTCTATTCAATTACTTCCTGATTTCAATAAAGTAATAAAATTCAATACATAGAGAATAACCTTAAAAAATTCCACTCCAGAAACCGCATGCCTGCAAATCTGGCAAACGATATTTCCTCCAAGTGAAAACTTTGTCAGGCAGGACAAGTTATCTTGACCTATACAGCATCTTGAATGGATTTCAGAACTAATTATGTCAAAACACTCGTAGAGTAGAACACTTGCCTTGAACTTTCCAGCTCCTTTAAGCCTTCAAATCTATTCTTAGATGTTTTCCAAGGATTGTTTCTCTTTCAAAAACTAGATTCTTCCCCCAAAAGAAAAAAACAGAACCCAAAAAACATGGAGACCTCTTGGAGAAAATAATTATCACCAGACCATTTATGAAATTAGGCAGGGAACAAAAATGACCTTCAAGCACACAATAGGCCCAATTATCTTTCCAAATACCCATTATATCATAAACACAGGAGGATTACCAAACTGAACCAAGCTAAGCATAGCATATTTACTTAAAGACAATAAACCCTTTAAAAAAAAATTCCTCTTGAACTCATCAGTTAAACAGTGGAGGAAAAAAACACAGATTACCAAGCAAGGCTAAAGATGTTTTAGCATCTCTTTAGGCTGAGGACTCTCCCTTCTCATCAATAATAGAAGAGCAGCCCATTCTGAATGCCTTGGAGAACCACATTTAACCACCACGACTGTTTTTTCACCCACAAGGTACATGGATTTCCCAGTGCAGTCAATGACAATTACGTATTTATATACGTCTATACCTTTATGTAGAACTTGTTCTTGAAAATATTGACACATCTAGTCTTGTCTGTGACTTCATATGACTTTTTCCCCCTCTGGTCAGATATGCTTTGCAATGAACAAGACAGAAGAAAGTGACAGTATTTATACAGGCATCTATTCAAAGTAATCCAAATTTTCTTCCATTCCCAGCAACAAGGCACACTGTAAGATGATTCAAGTCTTTCAATCAGGTCAACCCTGAGTAACAAAGCATACTCCTTTGCAGTATATTAAGGTTCCAAGACTTCTATTAAGTTCAAAGGCTTCTATTTGTATTTCTTTGTAATTTGCTGAATCATACCTGAATTTCTAAACAATTATTGGAACTGTACAGCTACAACCCCCTCTCAGGTGCTTCAAGTAATGCTTGCCTCCTATAAAATTATCTACTGCTAATAATCACTACACATTGTCTACTACTTGCAAACAATTCAGAAGAAAGCCCTTCCAGTTAAGCCTCTCACAAAACTTACTTCAGAATGGGTTTAAAAGCAGCAAACACGCAACATCTTGTACAGGCCACACAAGTGGCAACCGCCCCTGTACTTCAAGGAGTCTGGTAGAAATTTTCTCTCAAAACTTAATTACGTTGGGTTTTTAAAAATTATTATTATTAACGTATGTCATTTCTTCCATGCTATCTGAACATTTAAAATCCAGTAAGTGCCTCCTATGGCATCAGCTGTTTGCCATGCTCTTTATAAAGACCTGTGGTTGTTTGCTCAGTTTACTTCTCTTCTGGGCCTGTGGTCACAGTAGGATATGATTCTAAAAAATATCCATTTATTTTTTAAAGAAATCAAAAAAACTATAGGTTCTTTCCTGTCCTATGAATGTTCCCCAGTGTAGTGCAGACTGGTACACTCCTTCTCATAATATTTTTTAAAATATTTTAATATCCACTTCACCAAAGAAATGGAAAATCCATCACCTGCAGACTTGTTAGCAACACAAAGCAGTCGTGTCTAACGCCTCCCAACACAACCTCAAAATGTCACTTCTTTCAATTAAAAGTCATCTACAGTTTAGAAGTTCTCTTATCGTGTATGTATCCTTCAAATCAATGGTATCCTCAAGATAGCTTGGATTTATAAATGATTCTGGCAGCTGTTCATACATGTCTGCATGTGTCCAACTGTACAGACTAATGTTGGACATAATCTCTGTGGCCAATGACCTAATCTCAACCAGCCTTCTTCCCATTCCCCCCCTTCCCCAAGTTCCTCCCTAGTGGCAGAAAACAAGATTATAGAGTGAGAACATCTAGAAATGTATGCTCTAACCACAAATATCCAAGCTGATTTCAACACTGGGCAACACACAGAGTCCTTTCACAGCTGCAGAGAAAATTAAACCCACCAATAATGCTGAATTCACCTGTGCAGGTAACACACTTCTGTCCTGTCTCATTAGTCTGTGTTCTTATTCCTAAGCCCTTGCAAAGACTCTTGGTTGCCATTTTATGACCAGCAAGGGCACAAGAGAAAAAAGCGAGCTTCATGATTAATTCCAAGGCAAGAAAGAGATCCTGCTGCTCCAACACAACAGAAATAAAACAAAAAGGTGATTTGAGTAGGCTGCCATCCATGTCAGACAAGTGGCATTAACAGTTCTCAAAAGCAGAACTGCAAATCTGTATTGAAGTCTAATATTCTGAGGATCAGAATCGAAGGGATGACTGACAGAAATATGCAGCATTCTTTGGTTTTCCCCAAGAGACCAACACCACTTGTTTCACAGCACAGCTTATCTTTTCATCTTCAAGTTGGAAACACTCCAGTGTCAGGTATAATAAACCCTTACATGTCAAAGCACACTAGGAAACTACTTGGAGGTGCTTTAAATTCAAAGCGCACCACGTGTCTCGGTTCATTTTCCCTGGCCACACAAAAGGAAGCAAGTCACCACACACACGGAAAACACAGGGTGGAGAACAACCTCCAAAGGAAGCAGCCACAGTCAGGCTTTAAATAAATACCGTCTGCCTTTATCTGCTGCAGAGTGCCTGTGCCACCACGGGCCTGGAGGGAAAGTGTACAGTAAGCATTTGGAAGAAAGTGAGACAATCTGCAACCAAAAACTGTACCCAGTGAGTGTAACACAGAGCTTTATGTTTTAACTAGGCCCTCAAAATAAGGCAGTGGGAAGGAAATCAGATTGAATAGACCAACTCTGCTCCGTCAGTAAATCCAAACCAGCCCAGGAACCACACCATCCTTAGTTAACTTTAAGTTGTATAGAAACAACTTGTTACACTTGAGGTTCATTTGTGTTTTTGTTTGGAGTTTTTCTGGTTTGGGTTTTCCCCCCCACCCGTGGCTGGGTAGTCACATCAGTCTAGATATGTTAGTATAAATAAAAAAAACTTCTCTCTCCTTAACCCAAGTTCATTGCTTATAATGTATCTCAATGAAGGCACTTTGAGAAGAGTTCAGAAAAAAGACTCATAATAAATCAAATTTTATTTCCACCCACCACCCCCAGGCCAGCAGTACTTCTTTTTAATGATCCAAGTGTATCTATTGCTTTGCAGTTGTTTCCATCAGAAGAACTTTTCCAATGTTGGAATGTATATAAATTCAGCCTGAGGAAGGTGGATTTTTCAAACCTATGTCCCAAATACAAGTACAATGAGAAATGTTCTTTTTTATTTTACAAACATACAAAAAAATATACCTCATATTTAAATGTATCTCACCATACAGACTTAGACAGTAAAATATGGTCAAGAAATCTTGACAAAATACATATCAGCTGTCAAATAAGCATATGGTCAACCTGCAAGTACAAAGACTTTTGTAAGGTGTCTTCGTCAAAAATTTGTCAAGAAATTAAGCAGAATGCACATCTAACACTCTTCCCAACACTATCAGAAACAACTTTGAAGTAATTATTTGTATTTACTAGATGATCTTTTTTAAGAGTTATCGGTGTTTTCTCTGAATTGAAAATTTGTTTTTTAATGTTTGAAATTACTTAGGAAGCTGTAAAATGAACACATGATTTGCTTAACATATTCAAAATATTCTGTTCATCAACATTCCCAGGGCCTTGGGACTGGCTCACATGGCAACTGTGGCATCTTAGTTGACATGCAAAAATCTAAGTTCACAAAAAGAAGAGCTCCTTATTAAGTCCATGTGCTTGGACTGCATTTGCTCAATTAATACATCTCAAAAGACACAGCAAGCCAAGTCTCTTTCTTCCCATAGGTATCTCCAGCCTGAAGTTCAGGAAATACTGACCCCTCCCAGTACTTTTTGGCCCAAAATGCATAGTGAATAATGAAGCTATGAATGCTTGCAATTTATAATCCAGCTGCAAAAAGGCCTCTTTCACTCAAACGCTGAAATCGACATGGTTAAAAAATGAAATTCAAGTGCATTCACATTTCTCTTAGTTTTGCTGACCTTAAAACAAAGCAAGGTCAATCACAATAAAACGAGAAACTTTCTTCAGGTTAATAAAAGTTAAGCAAGTCCTCCCTTGTGACTCCTTCACATAATTCTACGTATGTAGCTTGCTCTGTTTCACATCTGATGTGTCACATCTGCAGTTCCATGCCTCGATACATGTACTACGTTGAGGGAAAGAATTGTTTAGGACACAAGACTGAGGGCAGAGCAGGAGTAAAGCAAGCAACAAACAATAACACTGCCAAGAACTGACACCAATTTTACTGTTTGAATCAAGAAGTTGCCTTGAGATCTAAACAAAAATTAAAAATACTAGTAACACAGGAAAAAACTGTATGGGGAATCCCCATTATAGCCTGATAGCCCTCTAAGGGATAAGCAAGTAGGTATACTAACTCCTCAGCCAAAGAAATCCTAAATTCAGAAGTAGCAGCATTCTCAACCCTTTCTCTTTCTTCAGCACTGAAAAGCAGCATCACTTTAGTGCTGCTGAACACAAGAACAGGCAGGAGCAACAGATAACATTTTTAGTGCCAAACCCTTTATAATTAACTTTATTTGACAAAATAGATATATAGAAAACAATTTGTATTAACAGGTTTGAAAAGCAACTGAAGTGCTTTCTCCAGAACACCACTAAGAGTAAAATAATCAGGAGCTTGTTTGAAGCAAAGAACAAACCAGTCTGTCTAGTATACATCCCAAACTTCAAGTTTCCCTACACATGTAACACATCCCAAGTCTTGGTTTCTTCTAGCAACAGGTAAGAAGGGCAGGCCTCACCTGTTTCAAGGATCCACCTGTCCTCTAAGCTTGAGTTCAGACAATCCAACTATTTTGAACTGCTCTGGCTAATCATATTCCTTAGGAACTGGTATACAGCAGGAGTGTGTTTACAGATTCCATAACAGAAGTGGGACATTCTAGAAAGAGCCAGTTTTGTGACTGTCAGTCCAACAGAGTTGAAAATAATCTCAATCTGGCATAACCATAACCAGAATCATTTCCCTACCCAGAGATGGATGTCTTCTGCTGACAGTTTTCCTTAGCAGACTTTTCAGATAGGACATCTCACAAATAGTAGCCACCTGACAGCAGACCAAGGCTGTTAACATGAGGAACATATTAGATCAACCTTTATGTCATATTCAGAAGTTTCCAGAATATATCCAGTTCTCAGTACACAACCCAGGGAAGACAGTGTGAAGTATGCATCAATTTGCATCCCTTATCTACTGGGAAAAGTGACTCAGTGATAACCATTTTGATTAAGAAACAATTCAGGTCTCTAAAGAAACCACTTGCCTTGGAGATCAATTCATCGTGATTGGCGAGATGGGCTCTGCAGTGGATACAGCTGTAGGTTCGGTGACAGTTTGGCAGGTAAGCCTGGAACGTTTTTGATTTTGTCATTTTTACCATCTCTGCTGGTGGTTCCTCACTCAGCTCAGGGCTGGCACTTGAAGAATTGCAACTTTGCTGAACTCGCTGACAAAAGAAACACTGGAATATGCAAGCAAAAGCCGTTGTTGTTCTGGAGTGTGTGTGGCACTTTCCACACAAATGACAGAAGAGAAACAGTCACAACCTGTAGGTGAAAAGAGCAGAACAATTAGCAGCTTACAACAAGGCCAGAGTTAACTTGTTATTCAACAACTCCAGCCATAAAGCAAAGTGTTATTTGGAGCAAATGCCTGGCTGCACTACAGGCCCCTTTTTCTAAGAAGCTGCACAGTCCAAGTTCCATTCAACACAGTAACAAGCAGCTCTGTTCCACTAACGGCTTCTACTCCACCACACTTCTAATGAGGGAGGAGACTTAAAAGTTCACCAAGAAACACAAGCACTTTCTACCTTATACCAGGTATTCTCTTTAAAACATCCATGTAGAAAATTACAGCAAAAAGGCAGGAAATGAGAAAAAGTTTATTGTCTTTGAAGTTCCAGTGGTCACTTCCAACATAACATCTCGGAAAACACTTGCTCTGTCCAATAGTAAACATACAAGACATATTTGCACTTCAGCTTTCAGCAAAAATCTTGCAGTATCACACCTGGCTTTAAGTCAAACACCAAGTAAGATGCTGCCACCCTATTCAGGGATCGTGTCTACTCCTCGTTCAAGCAGAATTATGCCTTTAGGCAAAGACCTTCTTGACTAGTGTCCTGATCAGAGCTAATTAGGTACTTCCTCACTGTACCAAAATAGTCTTAATAGATGCTACCAAAGTCACAGTCAGATACTAAAAACTAAATTCTGCACAGAGAACATCCATTCTTAACTCTTCATGCTTGGAGTGCATTTTAGAGGCAGTACATGTACAGAACATGCCAGACCCTCCCGCTAGGCTGGAAAGCAAATCTTTTTCATGTGCCTGAAAACTAGAGATTCCAAATACTCATAACAACACCTACTGATCTGTCAGAGGGCAGCAGTTCCCATGCTATGTGCATCAAGCTAATGAGCAATGCAAACGTGAAACACTGCCCAGTCACTTAATGTCATCAGCTATCAGGTGACTGACAGAGTAGATCAATACCACAAACACAGAAATGAGAGCTCATATAAAGAATTTACAGTATCTCGAGCCAGCTAAGCATGCAAAGCTTATTACAGTTGTAAACTGTGTACAGGGCAGCAGCTAGCCACTCTTCTAGCAGTCAGATACGAGTAACACAACTACTGCAGATAATGAAAGCCACATAAATTAAAAATGTTTTACAGGAAGCAGTCACTGTGCTTCAAAAGAAGTCCTGAGAAAATAATCTGTACAGCACGCCTAGCACACGAGACAGCCATAGCAAAATTAAAAGGGTTTGCTTTAGTTGTTTTTTAATCCTAAAATGATGATAACAGGAGAGAAAACTTGCACTACTGAAGGACTTGCTAAAAGAAAATTTCTTACACAAAGAATTGCAAAGGCAGAGATAAGCCACAAAGAAGACATGTAGCAGAACAAAGGCAATCAAAAGAAATAAAGTAACAATGGAATAAAGGAACAAACTCCCATCCAAATTACACATCTACACATCAGAATGATTGGGCTTTTGTCACTGAAAACAAAAACACATTTGATAAGGGATATGTTAATATGTTTGAAGTATTCACCCATTTGGTATGAAGAGCAGAACTTAAATAGTAACTCTAACTTAAACAAATATATACTCTGTGTCCCAAGATAATTTAATTACAACTGCAAAGAGAAGAATGATTACATTATTTGGAGAAAACAGCTCGCTTTTGGAGAACATCTAGATAGTAAGCCACATTTATTAGAGGTAAGAGATTATAGGAGGTAGATTACCTAAGAGCATGAGGTTCCCGTTAAATTCTCTGTCTGAACACTTACTGTTAGTTACAGATCCTATTTAGGTTCATATAAATGGACAAAACCAGAATCATAGAATCGACTGGACTGGACAAGACCTCCAAGACTATCAAGTCCAACCCTTGATCCAACCTCGCCATGGTTCCCAGACCATGGCACTGATGCCACATCCAGTCCCATCTGAAACACCTCCAGGGACGGGGAATCCATCCCCTCCCTGGTCAGCCCATTCCAATGGCTGAGCACTCTCCCTGTAAAGAATTTCTTCCTCATATCCAATCTAAACCTCCCCTGGCAGAGCTTGAGACCGAGCCCTCTTGTCCTACTGCTGGCTTCTGGGAGAAGAGACCGAACCCCACCTGGCTACAGCCTCCAGTCAGGGAGTTGTAGAGAGTTCTGAGGTCTCCCCTGAGCCTCCTCTTCTCCAGACTAACCAACCCCAGCTCCCTCAGCCTCTCCTCACAGCCCTTGTGCTCCAGTCCCTTCCCCAGCCTCCCTGCCCTTCTCTGCCCCTGCTCCAGCCCCTCCATGTCCTTCCTGACCTGAGGGGCCAGAGCTGGACACAGCACTCCAGGGTGGCCTCACCAGCGCTGAGTGCAGGCCAAGAATCACTTCCCTGCTCCTGCTGCCACACCATTCCTGAGCCAGGCCAGGAGCCCTTGGCCCTCTCGGCCCCCTGGGCACAATTGGGTTCATGTTCATCTTCCTGTCAATCCCAGCTCCCAGCTCCATTCCTGCCTGGCTGCTCTCCAGCCACTCTGTCCCAGCCTGTAGCGCTGCAGGGGTTGTTGTGGCCAAAGGGCAGGACCCGGCACTTGGCCTGGTTGAACCTCATCCCCTTGGACTCAGCCCATGGATCCAGCTTGTCCAGGTCTCTCTGCGGAGCCCTCCTGCCTTCCAGCAGATCAACACCCCCCAGCTTGGTGTCATCTGCAAATTTGCTAATGGTACACTCAATCCCCTCACCCAGATCATCAATAAAGATATTAAACAGAACTGAGCCCAACACTGACCCCTGGGGGACACCACTAGTGACCGACCGCCAACTGGATACAGCACCGCTCACCGACCGCCAACTGGATACAGCACCGTTCACCACCACTCTCAGGAGTTCAGAATGAAAGGCACCACATGCAAACATGTCTTGACTTTGGCTTAAACTCCCTTCATCCAACACAAGCTGAATTCTTGCAAAAGTTCAGTAGGTGTTGATGTGGCACCTGTGGACATGGGTTAGTGGTGGCCTTGGCTTAATGATCGTAAGAGGTCTTTTCCAACCTTAACGATTCTATGATCCTAAGAATTCCAAAGCTTATTTGACAAAACTGTATTTGATTCAAAAAGGCAACTGTGTTCAAAACACATCCTAAGAACCAGCGACTTGTTGCTTTGTGCTGTTAAAGGCAAAATTCAAAACAAACCATTTCTCAGTTTCCTCTAAAAACAGTTTATAAACCCAGTTTCACTTCCCTCTGACAGGAGCAGTTTCACGGCTGCTGACCACTACTCTACGGAGAACAGCGTGAAAGCCTGAAATAACTATTTACCTCTTAATTTTCTGACCACAACACAGTGGTCCTTGCCCACGATCTACGCGTGTTCGCCCCTACCAGTCCAGCACCCACGGGCACTTCCGGGCGCACCGGCTGCACCGGGCACTTCAACCTCCGCGCTCCTCCTGGGGCCGCCCCGAGCCCCGAGCGTTCGTTGGAGCCCGAGGGTCCCCCCGGAGCCCGCGAGGGTCCCCCCGGAGCCCGCGAGGGTCCCCCCGCGGGTGGGCGATGCGCGGCCCGGTCCCGCCGCGTGACGTCACCAGGGAGGCGCGCGGGAGGGTGGGGGCGGCCCCGCCCCGCGCGAGGCCCGGATGTGTAAACAAACACCCCGAGAAGTGTGGCGGGGCTGGGGGGGGGACACGACCCCCCCCACGGGCCCCGCCGTGCCGACACACCGGCGGACACGGCCGGTGCGCGCGCTCCCGCTAACCTGCGGTGGGATCGCTCCAGCAGGGGAAGGCTCTCAAAGTTAAAGACTGAGCCACAGGAGCCTCATTCTCACTTGAGGTACCGGGAAATAGCAGGAGAGAAGAAGCGTGGGGAAAGTTACCGGCTGGCACTCAGCGCCGCGCGGGAGCCGCTGCCCGTGCACCTTCCAGCCGTTTCCTCTCACGCCGGAGCACGAAACCGCCGCGCGGGTGACGCCGCCTTTTCTCCCTCCCCTCCGCAGCGATTCCCGCAGGACAGCGGCTCGTATCCCCCGGTCCAGCCGCCAGCTCGGTGCGGTGACACACCGCGCCCGGCCCCGCTCCGGGCGGGGGGAATGCGGGGGGCCCGCACCATACCCTTGCCCGCCGAGCTCAGCTTCGCCCCCCCTCAATTATGTAAACCGCCCCCACCCGCCCCGTGCCGAGGAGGCTGCGGGCAGACAGCGCTGCCGTCATTTCCAGGCGCTATAAATAGTGCCCGAGCCTCCTCCCGCCACCGAAGTTGCCTCGGCGGCCCCGCGCACACGCCAGACCGCGGCCCCCCCGGCCGGGGGCAGCTCGAGGCTCCTTGGCAGCCGCCCCAAACAATAAATCCCAGCGCAAGGGAGAGCAGACGCTCCTCGCCCGCTCGGTACTCACCGCTGAGCCGGCTCCGCTCCCAGTCCGAGCTCTGAGCAGCTCCCGAACCCCTCTACCTTAGGGGCACAAGCAGGAGGGGAGGCGGGACCCCCGGTGCTCGCGCGGCGGTCAGAGAGGGCTCCGCGCCGGGCCCTCACCTTCAAACAAAGAGGGGCGATTTGGGGGGGGGGACACGACAGCTTCCCTCGCCTCGAAGGTACCGTCTCGGCGGTGGCCGCCGGGCGGGTCATAGACGGGGGCCGGGCGCGCGTGTGGCGCGCCGAGGGCCGAGGGGCGGCCGAGGCATGGTGCCGTGCCGAGCCCCGCGCTCCCGGTGCCGTGCCGAGCCCCGCGCTCCCGCCGCCGCCGCCGCCTTTGTTTTGCTTTGCCCGGCCCGGGGGCGCAGCGCCCGGCAGGCCCCGCCCCCCGCCGCCCAGGCCAATCGCCGCGCGGCCCCGCGCGCGGGCGCCCCTCGCGCCCGGCCCCGCCCCCTTCTCCGGGGCTGGATGGGCGTGCCGAGGGGCTGCTTGGCCCCGCCCTGTCGGCCGTTGCGCGCGCGGCGGGGCGGCGCGTGCCGCTGGGCGCGTGGCGCGAGCGCCCCCCCCCCCCCCCCGATCCCCCTCGCTCCCGGCGCGAAGCGGGCGGCGCGCGCTCCCTGAGGGCTGAGGCGGGCCCGGCCCTGAGGGCACAGCCCGCGGAACGGAACGGAACGGAACGGAGCGCGGAATCGGGGAATAGAACCGGGGAATCCACGCCCCCGCCCAAGACAGGGCTTCGGATTGCTCAGCTTGTTTATCGTCCCAACACACACGTAGTGAGGTGCCAGTCCACCTAAGTCATGACGGCATCAGAGAGTTTCTGCTCGAAAGAGGTAAAACCCTGGGAGGTGACACTGGTCCGGTAAAACTTGAGTGCTCTAGGAAAAACATTAAGAAAAAAAGCACATTTGGAGGTTGAAAGACAAGTAGGATTGGTCAAAGCGCTTGATTCGAGTTTGGGAAGAGTTCATTGCTTGTAACAATTTCGATTATTAAGGGGACCAAAACACAACTCACATGTAACTGTTTTCCGAAGCATATCAAGTGTGTTGGCAATGATCGTGTTTTCCTTTAAAAAGTCAATAAAAGCCAGCCCTTGGTTTATTTTGGCTGTACCCTTCTATTTCCACAGACAGAGTGCAGGGACACAAACTGCCTGTGATGAAGCTGTCATTTACCCGGTACCCCAGGCAGGGCTCTGCTTCCTTTTCTGGTCAGTCCTGAAATCTTTTTCAAATCTTTATCCAGTAGGTTGGGTTTTTTTTGGTTTTTGTTGTTTTGTTGGTTTTTTTTTTTACTCACAGGGCTTTGGTACTTGGCAAAATATTAGAGAGATAGAATCCATTACAATTCAGATAGTGGCTATAATCAATAAACCTTGTGCTAGATGATTTTATGCTGCCTATCCACTTTTCTAATATAATTCACGTTTGTATATTTTATGTCATATGCTTCTTCCTTCTTAATGGCAAATTAATGGCCAGTCATGAAGAACAATACAAAAAAGTCACATTTGCACAATAAAGAAAGAAATATATTTTGGCAATACATCAGGAAACAAACATCTGTGAGAGTATTTCCAGTAGGGCTTTTATTGCAATTTTCCCGTCATTTCTCCAGCTCTAGTGCTGTAGTCTTGTAAAAAAAGGGGAAAGGTGATAATCCTTTTGACTTACTTAGCTACACCTCAGAGTGCACCAAATCCAGCTTCCTAATCCAGTTCCCACAGATGAGTTAAATGAAGTATATGGTAAAGACATACAACAAGATAATAACTGGGACAGGGAAAAAGGCAGGGATGTAGCATGGTTTAGTAGAGAAGTTCCATTAAATCTGATACAGTACAGAGAGTAGATAAATCTTGAGATGCTTCCTGAAAAATGTCTCCAGCCAGTTCAAAGTTATAAATATACCATAAAGAATTTTACAAATTTTTAACAAGCTGTTTATTTTACTTCATTTTGAGGGGCCTGTTACAAAATGGACTTACAAGATGGGCTTTTTAGTCCATTCTTTTTTACCTAGTAAAAAGATACCTGACTAGATGGATGGCTGTTGTCATCTGGCACAACTGATCCTTTGCCACATTTATGCAATTGCCTATAAAAACTCTCCTCTGTGTTGCATTAGGACTAATTGCTTTGACCTTTTCGTAACAGTTAATACTTATATTGTACTTAACAGGCTCTAAGTATCATTCTACAGTATGTTTGCAACAGTTCCTACCTTTATCATCTTTTTGAGAATTAGGAACCAGGAATATTGAGCAATGAGTAAAAAGTCTTACTGATCTCTGTGTTGTCCTCCAAACCCACGTAGTGAGGTGTCAGTGCACCTGTCAGACTGACACCTCACAACTGGCTGAAACCAGGGAGGTGTCAGTCGTGGCTTACATGGCCTGACATCTCACTGGTTCACTGAAGCTGGTAGCAAAGCTCCCACCGCAATCCACAGTCCCTGACCCTCAAAGCCAATGATGTTACGCATCATGTGTAAGCTCTCCATGGATCGCAGCTGCACAGGGGCCTGATGTTGCACTGCAGTGAATGCTGCCACATGTCTCACTCTCTGGGGTTCTGGTGATGTTCTCATTCAGTAAGGACCCAAAGAAGCACAAACTTGGAATTGCTAGTGCTGCTGTATGCGCTTTTCTACAGATATGAACGCAACATCAGGTTTCTCTCTTCAGTTTACCTCAAGAGATGTGGCTTAGGTGTTAGGATCTAACCAGGTTACACAGAATCAAGAGTTAAAGTCTACCTGAGGAGTAGGAAAATAACCAGCGGTCCAATGCAGAATGTAGAAGTGATTCTTTTTCAGAGATGACAAGATGGACAAGGAGGAGAAAGAAGTGTCTGTCATTCAGCAAGGACAGCAAAGGATCCTGAAAGCTGAACAGTGTTTCCATTGTTTTAACACAAGCTCCGCTTCTCCATTGGAATATCCAAATGACAAGGACACTGAGGGTTTCTTTCTCTTTGCTGTTTGTTTCCCTAGTAACAAATACACAAGCTGCACTGTTAGAATACCATCTTTTCCTCCTTTTTTTTTTTTTTCAAGATCAAGACATGTTGAGGATCTATTCAGTGCATTTAGAAGCAGGTTAAGGTTGCTGGTATGAATGAACCTCTGATACAGCATGATGTACTTGAAAGTGCTGCATGTAGTCAGTGGCTGAGACAGTGAAATAACTTAAAAAGCACAGAAGAAAAATGTTTGCATCTCAATTTCTATACTGTTTAGGCTGTAGACGCTTAGGGTGAAATCTGCCTATCACAGTGGAGCTCTGATCCTGCTTGGCAAAGCAAATGGCACAGTCCTACTATTGAATCGTGTAGTGTCCTAATTATATCCCATTCCTATTATCATCAGTAACATAATACACACCATTTGAATGGGACTGACTTTGACAGGGACAACTCTCACCTATGTTTTTGTTGTGAGTTTTGGATTGTGAAACATCTCTTTAAATATAATTCTATAATGGGAGGGAGGGGTGTTGCTGTTTCCTGTTAGGATTCTAGTTGAGGTTATGGTTATGGTCTGTAGTTGTGGAATTCACTGGGTTATGAGAATAGGAGAGATGGAATGCAGTCATTGTCGGTGTGGTTTAGCACAATAGAAATAGAACGGTAGGTGAATATATCCAAAACCATAAAAAGCCTTTCTGAAAGCATGACAGGCAGAGACAGGAAAGACCATTAGGGGCATCTAAACTGAGAAGCAATGTCTGGATCACTCCTCCCTTTGCTTCTTCAGGATATGTATAATGAAGAAATATCTGACAAAATTAATATCAAACTTCTGATTAGATTATACAAAGATATAACATTATGCATTAATTGTAAATCAGCTTGGGTTTAGGTCATAAATTATACAGGTATTTGTCCCAGTGTATTTTAGTTATGTATCTGGAACAGCATGTGTAGGGAGGTATGTCAGGTGAGCAAAGAATTTAGTTAGTATTTTATCATTTGGGATGCTGTTTGAAATCAGTAGAAGTAACTATTAAATTTTCCTACATATGCCAATGTAAAACCTGCAGACTCAGAAAAGATGCAGTGAAACTGCATGTTCAGTGTATCAGGGAATATCAAGCAATATGATCAGCTGTCCTAAAATATTTTGATGTCTCAAGCTATCCTCAAGTGGAGAATAGGCAGAGGAGTTTGTTCGGGGGCTACGAATCAAACAGATCTGTATCATGCTTTTTATATGAGGTAGACATCTGCTCATATACATATAAATGGGTGTGATGTGGAAAAAAGTCAGTATCAGCCAGTTCTAGATACCTAATTCAGAAGAATGTATGTTCTCTCTAATCAGATGGTTGAAATACACACCACTAGGGGATAATTTTTCATCAGCAAAGTCTGCACTGCTCTGTTCATCCCCACCATCTCTGTAGAAGATCTACTTTATATCTTGTGTGACTTTTGAAATAGCAAAACCAGATGTTAATTAAACTTTTCTAATATTCAGACTGACAGATGTACAAGTGTCCTGCCTAAAGCAGAGAAGCTCACCAGGAAATTAGGCAGCATACAAACCCTTCAAGCTTCAGCATGCCTTAGTAGCTAGGTTAAATTTTATTTATTTTTTCCCCCTGAATTTGTTTTTTAATACTTGAATATCAACTTTCACTAGAAAATCTAGACCTTTCTCTATAGGCTAGCAATAAGAGTTGAGTTTTGTTATATACTTCTTTTGGTTGTTAAACAAAAATATAAGGCCAACAAAAATAGTCATCTTGATATAAGCACAGTAATGAAAATGGTGATCATAAGAACAAGTGGCAGCCATTTTTATTGTTGAAAATTGTTTTCTGTGCTAACCAAGCTATGGAGAGATGAAGTTCTGTCCTCAGAAGCAGAGGCAACTGCAGGAACTGTGAGCTACTCACCAGACTGGATAAGTGGGGAAACCCTGCAACTGTTTGTTTCTGCTTTTCCTGCTGGCTGTTGTTGGCTTTGCTGAAAATCTCAAGAGCAGAACAGACAGTTGTAGAGCGTGAATACATGTCTGTATCTCTCTCTGTCAAACTGACAACATGTTTTTCTAATGGGAGAATTTATAAAGCTACCATTTGTGTTTGTATCTGGCACAGTCACTCAATTAGAATTTCTGGAACTAGAGGATTCACAGGTCAGGACCCAAAGGTGAGACAAGTACAGCAAAGTCCTAAAAGTGAGTGAAGTCCAAACACAAGTGTTTTGACTCATTCTAATATGCTTTAGACCAGTACAAAAAAAAGATTCAAGACCAAAAAGCAGTACCAA